CTGATGCTGCCAGGGGTCGAAGACGTTCCCACCTACAACATCATTCACGGTGAACGACGGCAAAAGCTCCATATCGGCAAGGCAGACACCCATCTCGGGATGTTGCGCGAAGAGGTTGGCACTGCTCGACGCGTCGTTGGGCGGGAACGGTTCCACACCATGCTGCCAGTCCTCAACTCCTGGGAAATCCGAGCTGCCGACTGGATCTAAGTGTGCGAACACGTCAGGAGAGGCTGCATCTGAGCGAATTGCATGTCCCCAAGGACTCAAGAACGGGTCTGTGTTCCTGTTCGGTGGTTTAACGTCGTCGGGGCTAGCAGATGCTGAGAATCTGCTCCGTGGCATCGGCGGAGGTGGGAATGGCGAATGCTGAGTAGGAGATATCGAGGTGATCGGTGAGAGAGGTTGATCCTGTGGAGTCTGCGCTTGTGTGAACGATGAATGCATAGGAGGCGACGATGCGGATGTGTGGCGTTGGTCGAAGGAGGTATGGTACGATCGAGGAGGAGGACGCATGGCCGGGGCCTGAGGTGCGAGAAATCTAGACGGAGGACTGAAGGCCGTCATTCGCTGGGCCACTGGCGTAGTGAAGTACGGTGAGCCTGTCGGTCCCGAAGACTCTTGCGGTGTGTTCCCACGCGACAATGGCAGCTCGGAAGCTGGTGAAGAGTGACCACGCGCGTGTCCGGACCGTGGAGCAGCGCTGGTACGAGATCTCTTCGATGGGCGCGGATTGTCATCAGGTACACTGTGACCTTTCGCGTTCGGCCTCTTGCTATTCCCCACCCGGTTCTGATCCTTACGCTTGGAGTACGCCTTAGGTGCGTTGACGAACATTCGGATCTGCCATGCCGAGCACATGACGTTCTCGCAAATGCACTTCTCTTGTGCGAGGGCGGTGACGATGTTATCTAGCCGGCCGGCACAGTCGGTGTCTTTGTCCTCGTCCTCGCCCTTGCGCTCGTCGTTGACATAGTCGTTCTGCTGCCAACCGCGGAATCCTTTCCTAACCTGCTCGAGCAGGCAGTCAAACACCTTGTGCGCGTATGCTTCCACCAAGTCGGACTGGTAATGTGGCTCTTCGATCCATCTCTTCCGCGCGGTTGATTTCGGGTTGTCTCTAGCATGATCGCCGCTGACCATCGCATTGTAGATGCGTTCGACGTTGCGGTCGCGATCACGTTCAACCATCTCGATAGTCGGGTCAGTGGCAGGATCCCTCCATGGCTCACGGTTGAATCGCATCTTGTTCTGTCGGTATTCCTTCGCGTGCCCGGAGTCATTGAAAAGACCTCGGAACGGTTCGTAAAGCTGATGTCCCGCCTGCGGTCCCATGCTAGAACGTTCTGTCGACGGCATAGGCGCGAGCGAAGGGCCTTCCCTGGAGATAGACCGCTGATGTATCGAGTATGCATGCGCGGGACCTTTGATCATGAGTTCGCTGTTCCGACAGCTCGGGCTGGTCAGATCAACGTAGCTGTTGACGCCACGCAGATGGTTGTTGTCGCTGTGGGGAACGAATCGCGATGTCTGCATGGCAATACGTGGATCGTGCGATACGGTAGCGGCCGCTTCGAATCCGGTATCCGACATGTAAGATTGGCTGAAGTCGTTTGCATTCCCGTAGCGTTGGCTGGAAGGCCCGCGGAAACCATGGAAGGTCCCCGCGTTCTGGGGACTGTGTGTGGCCTCTCTCGAGTAGCTGCGATTGCCTTCGACGTCAAGCGGGGTATAGACATGCCGTTCGGCAAGGGTATCGCCAGGTTCGTGTTCGCTTTGGCGGAGTGACTTCTCCGCCTGGCGCGGAGATTCCTTCATGTAGATGCTGATGCTTCTCGCAGGTACGGCGTGGTAAGTGTGATGTAGGGTTTGAAGAGAGGAAAGTCAGAGGGGGTATTGGTGCTGATATGCAAGAATATGTGATCTGGAATAATGTGAAGAAGGACTGGGAATGTAAAGCTCCAGTATCAATGTACCTTCATATATCGTGAAGAGCCGGGCTTTATACATTGAACGAACGCTCACCGCAACCGCTGTGTCGGTCCGTCGCTCAAAATACCCGTTGATTCTCATGGCCTTTCGCGATGCCTTGTGATCAGGCAGTGCGTTGGAAGCTCGTGGGGTTGCTGAGGCTGTGGAATGCGTTCGTGACGGGGGCTTCAAACCCCCACACGTTTGTTGCATGTGCCATGTGCAGCTCAGGTACGTGTTTGAACATCAGCTCGTTCCGGTGCCGCGCTGCTCACGTGTCGCGGGCCGCGCATCGGAGCGGCGATGCCATTGTCCAGACTTAGCAACGAGGTTCTTGTGATTCGCTGCGATCGTCTCCGGTCGTCTTCTCCGTCTCTTTGATTCTTCGTCAGTTGCGTGGGACTATTCAGCTATGGCATTCACCTCTGCATAGCCTTGATGTGACATGGAACTCTCTACGAGGCTGTGGAAGTCTGGAACCGATTGAGTGTGACAGTTCATTCGTAAGCCATATGTCGCCATTGCCACTGCTGTGACAACTCCGCACGACCTACGCGCATCATCACGTGGGGTGGATGTCGCGGAAGATAGCTGATCATCCAGAGACGTGATATCTATTCAGGCGCCCGCTTCGAGGCTACCTGAGTACCTAGCTATGCATCATCACTGTAGTTCATCTAATTACAGAGCCGAACGAAGCAGCTTTGTCATTTCCTACTCGGTTCGTGACTCATCATGGTACGAAGAGACTTATTCCAACTGTGTGGTTGTGTTCTCATTGTCTGCCACATTACATATACTCCAAAAGATACTCCAAAACAGCCTCATAACACATTGTCGCAATAATGAGTGTGTATTTAACTGAGGAAACACCAGATTAAGTGAACCCTAGGTAACGCCAAGACTAAGTCCTAGCGGCTTGTCCTCCCCTGAATCTCTCAACTCGCTCATTGAAGTCTGCCTCTAGATCGTCCAATGAGATTTTCGTGCCTTGTGGCTTCCAGTCTCCTTCTTCAAGTGGAACTGGAGTGCGATTATGGTGTTTCTGAACTACGCATTGGTCAGTAGATGCAAGAACGCTTTACCACATGACTTACACTCCTCACTGTAAATCGCAACAAGTTCGATGGGCCCTCCGCGTTCATGTTCGTCGGTATTTCTCACAACCTTAACGTCTCCGAACCAATGTTTCTTCCGTTCGCATTTTTTCAAGAATTCAATAAGGTTCCCTCGCGTCTCGAATTGAAGTTCAGCCACTCCCCTCATACGGGAATCGTCGTGTCTAGGGGACCACCTTTGGGCTTCTTCTCTGACATTCGTGAAGATCCAATTGTTTTCGAAATAGACGTTTTCTATAGGTAGATTCCTCCTGTCATGGTCCCAAATGGGCCATGAAGCCACCTTGATCGCCCAAAAGTTGGCCTGGCCATTTAGTTCGCCTGTCCTTTTCCACCCCAAGTAGCGCCCACCGGAAGTCCGAGGATTGTATCGATCTGGTGGTCCAAGGAAGACTTCCTTAACTGGAGTTTCGAAGACAAATGATTAGCTTTGCAGGCAAATGGATTGTTCCCAGCGGAAACAACCTACATTTCACATTCATTCCCATCCCCGTTTCGTTATCAAGGCGAGGCTCTTCCGGATCCTGTCCGGCCGGGTATTCCACAAGCTCATCGTAGCCCCCAGCGATATAATGTAGGCGCGCTGCACAGCGTTGGGTTAGTTCCTTCAAGTCGTCATCTCTGATAACGTAACCCTCAATTGCCCAATGATAACAGACACCCGAGGCAGCTTTGAACCAAATTGTTTCACAGGTGAGTACTTTGGTTTTGTCGATTGTGTAGCCAATGCTCTTGTACTCGGGTGTATCTTCTTCAAATTTCACCAACCAAAAGTTTGGCGCCGGCAGTGGATCTTGATCCTTCCAGGGAGCAAGATTGTGAATTCGAGAAGCAGAATTGTTTGCGATGCCGAGGCTGATTGCGACTCTCTCAAAGGTTGGATCATCAAATGGAACTGGTCCCCGTATGCCCATTTTCGGAGGTAACGTCTGGTCCATGTTGGTGGGTGTATAAAGGCTGTAGTGTTGTGTGTATTTGTGAAAGTATTCGACAAGATTTCAGTAAACTGTGAGTGTAAAGAACATTACGGAGACCCGCAGCAATTTATACCAGTCCATGACTCCAAAGATTGAGCAACAAGTAGGTAGCCGATGAATCAACACTCTGAGAGGACTCATCGCAATGTCTACATGTCCTATGGTCTCACCCGTTCGTGAGTCGCATCGTTTATCAGAGCTGAGGCTCTCGCAATGAGTCTACCCAGGTATCCACAGAATGTATCTTAGAGTCAGAAGCTGAAAGGATGATGGATCATCATGTTGGTCAAAGTTGTTGGATCGCCATGTTGGTGAGTCCGTGATGACCGAGCAGTGGCCATATCGAGTAATAGACGGCCAGGGCATCGTGGCGCACTGACGTTGAGCCGTGTGTGCCGTTAAGATGGCTCAACTACGTCAATGTGTGAGTCGAGTGATGCATGACAGCTTCTTCTTCAGAAGCAGTTGCTCGGAGATGATTATGAAACTGTCATGGGTGTGTTGCGGACACGGAGGCGGAGATGTGGGACGTGGTCCTTGGGCGAAGCTTGAGTGCAGACAGCGGTGACGTAAACCAACACGAGCGTGTAGGACGGTCGAAAACATAACCTCCGTTCTGGATTGCGAAAGCGACAACTTCAACCTGTCCTCGATAATGTTGAGAGCAACCCACAATGGCGTGGTAGTGCCTTCGCGCACTAGTTCCGCACTCCCCATCGCCTAATTCCGCGGCCCCAACAGCGGACCATCTTCCCCGCATTAGCCGGCCTCACCCACATCAAGCCCGGGGAAGCCGCCATGGAGCAAGGACGGTAGATATATAGAATATCCGGCTCTTGCTAGTAAAAGGCCACTATCGCGTCGTGGCCCATCACCAACCTTTGTTCACCTTGATGTTTTCGGCAAGCGCTACAAGGAGCCACTAGCGAACACCATGATCTCCACTATCCTCCCGCTGCTATCGTCGCAGTTTGCAGATCATCCAGTTCGCACTCTGTTCGTTTTGTTGATACTTATTCCTATATCTTACCTTGTTGGAAACGAATATGTGCGATACTCGCGGCGGATCAAGGGTTTTACTGGGCCGACGAACTGGCCTTTGGTTGGGAATATCCCGGATATCAAGTACAACGCGGCGGAGAAGTACCGGGAATGGAGCAAGACGTTTGGCGCTGTGTATCAGATACAGCTTGGGAATGAGCCGGTGATCGTGGTGAACAGTGCTGAGGCTGCAAGGAAGATCTTTGGTGGGAATAGCCAGGCACTCAGTTCGAGACCTGTTTTCTGGACGTTCCATAAGGTGGGTGTAGAGGAATGGGGATGTTGACATGTGTCTGACTGAAGTTAGGTGCTTTCAAACACTGCTGGTACGACTATTGGAACTTCGCCCTTCAACGATTCGCTCAAGCGGAGAAGAAAGGGCGCTGCTGCCGCACTGAACAAGCCTTCGATTGCGACATACATCGACCACCTTGATCTCGAAACGAAAGAGTTTGTGAAAGATGGATTCGAGTCAGGACAGGCCGGTACCGTTGGAGTAAACCCAATGCCCATGATCGAGCGCCTCTCTCTTTCTCTTGCGCTGACTCTCAACTGGGGAACGCGCATGAGCAGTCGTCACGACCCCATGTTCCACGAGATATGCGAGGTTGAAGCTGCCATCTCGAAGTTCCGTAGTACGACCGGAAACTTGCAAGACTACATTCCGCTGCTGAGACTGAACCCGTTCAGCTCAGGCACAAAGTCTGCGAAAGAGCATCGACGCCGGAGGGATGTGTATCTGACCAAGTTGAACCGCGAGTTGGACGAACGGATGGAGAAGGGCACCCACAAGACATGCATCCAGGCGAACATCATCCAGGACAAAGAAGCCGCGCTGAACAAGGAGGAGTTGACTTCCATCAGTCTGACAATGTTGTCTGGCGGTCTAGACACGATTACGACCCTTGTGCAGTGGAGTGTCGCGTTGTTGGCTCAGAGACCTGACATCCAAGAAAAGGCCATCAGGGAGATCCGGAAGTTCTACTTGGAGGACGAGCCGCTGGCGGACGCGTATGACGACCAGAAGTGCGGATATATCGTCGCACTGGTCAGAGAGTGTCTGCGCTACTATACTGTACTACGTCTGGCGCTGCCTCGTGCGACCATCAAGGATGTCATGTATGAGGGCAAGCTTATCCCAGCTGGTAGTACGATATATCTGAACGCATGGGCGTGCAACATGGGTAAGCCATCCTCAGTCTTACCATCCACACCGAGAACAGCGATACTGACTACAACACAGATCCCGAAGTCTGGAGCGACCCAGACGAGTTCCGCCCAGAGCGCTGGCTCGAGCAGCCGGATGCACCTTTGCACACATACGGGCTGGGTTACAGGATGTGCGCAGGCTCATTGTTGGCCAATCGCGAGCTGTATCTCGTTTTCCTGCGCATGCTGAACAGCTTTGAGCTTGTATCGGAGTCGGAGGTGGACGTGCACCCTGTCCGGGGCAGCTCAGACCCTACCAGTCTGGTGACCATGTGCCGGCCTTACCAGATTCTCTTCAAGCCGCGGAACGAGAAGGTGCTGCGTGAGGCTCTGAAGGCGGCAGATGAGCGATTGGCTGAGCATGAGAAGGTGTGAGTAGTTGATGGGTAGATTAGTCTGGCTTGGGCGTATTGATTAATCTAAATGGCTTTTGACGTCCGTAAAGCTCCATGGCTGTGTTGCAAATCGGCGTGACGATCGTATGCAGCACGTTCATATGAATAGTCGAAGAAGCGATGATGTGGCAGCTCACGCATGAGTTTGGGACGAGATGGCAGTCGTGAGGGAAGCAGGAGAGGGTTCGCAGTAGCGTAGACGGCACGTGGCGGCAGCTGCAAGCGAGCGGGATGATGCGTTGCAGGGATGTGCTTTCCGAGAGGACAATGAATCGAGGTTATCGCAACTCCAGATGTCCTCTTCCATTGCCTCCGACACGCCTTTGAAGGGACCTTACACCACCCATTATGTTGTTTTCATGATCTCAGGATACGCGCATCCGTTTCTCTCCATTTGGGACCCTCCGTATCACCCCCATAGCTGAGGTCAGCAATCCGTCGCATGCTCACACAGCTTCCGCCGCCCGCACGTAGAATCGCACGCGACATTTACTCCGATATCGCCATGGATGAATGCTAGCGGAGAGATAGGGCTTGTACAACGCGTGATTACAGCGGAACTCCATTGGCGGCGCCATGTATCGAAAGACGACGCTCCCAGGCGATGAAGAGCTGGGCAAGAAAGACGATGACCACCGATACAAGCCCGCGCGCCAGTCCAGCTGGTCGATGTGGAATCATACATTCCGCTGGCGACGGAGAAGAATACTACTCGCGATAGTAGCCTTGTGCGTCTTGTACTACACCTTCCACGGCAGCTCGGACGACCTCGAAGCCCCGGTCGAACAGCGATATCGCGGACGACCCATCTCGTCGACATATCAGAAGCCGGGCGCGACTGGCAACGACGACGAACCTACGGGACCGCCCCCGGGCATACAAAAACCTCGACGCGGAGATCCAATCCCGCATACATACGATGGGCAGATACGCTTCTTCCGTCTCGCTAGCTCGCTGCGCTCGTCTGCTTCGGCAACGGGTGGGTACGAAAAGAAGAATAGGAATATACTGTTTGCCATGTCGAATCTGAAGAGCGTCTCGACGCTTTTGCCGATGGTGTGCGACATGTCGCAATGGAACAGGAACCACGTACACGCGACTTTCATGGGGAGGGAGGACATACCAATAGAAGATTTGCTAGAGATAAATGGGATAGACAAGGTCAAGTGTCCTGCGGTGTGGCATGATGCGCGACCGGATTATACAGAGTATGTACACTCGCCCAAGCACCAAAGAAATGTCGTAGTGGCAAGCACATGTCTAGACCACGTATATGATTTCAAAATAGCCAGGGCTAATCAAAATCTGCGTGTAGGTACAGTACCGATGTACGCGCTGAGACAGCGGTGACAGGAGCCATGTCACACATCAACAGTTTCCTGCATCCACAAGCAGTCGTTATCGACGACTCAATGTCTGAAGACGCATTCTTCGTGCGCGGCATGCGAAGTAAAATCGGTGCATTAAAGATGCCTCTTGTCGAAGTACCAAAGGACAGATTAGAGGACTTCGCCTGGGTCTCGCGACTTGACGCCGGCTCGCTCAAACACTGGCACGATCCCACTGTAGACATTCTGATTCAAGTCCCTTCAGGCTCATCCAGTGTCCTTCGACTGCTGGAGTCGATCAGAGATGCTGATTACAGCGGTCTGACACTGCCCCGCATCACGATCGAGCTACCAGCCGAGCTCGATGTATCAGTCAAAGAGCACATTGAAAAGTTCAAATGGCCCCCAAAGAGTGACAATCCAACGACAGGAAGCGGTCTCAGCATCAGACGCCGCATCTCAACCCACCGCCATGATCAGGAGGAATCGGCAATACGTTTCTTGGAATTGTTCTACCCTGCAAGCACAGCCAATTCGCACGTGCTACTGCTCTCATCGCAGGCTCAGCTATCGCCACAGTACTTCCACTTCGTCAAGTATGCATTGTTGGAATATAAGTACTCTACTTACGGCGCAGAGGATAACGAAAAGCTCATGGGCATGAGCCTGGAATTACCACCGATGCTCTTAGATGGCAAGACAAAGCTAGAGGCTCCTTCGACCAGCGACATGCACACGGATCGGTACAAGAAATTGTATCCCGACGCTAAGAGTGTGCCTTACATGTGGCAGGCTCCGAATAGCCATGCGGCGTTGTTGTTAGGGGACAAATGGGCAGAGTGGCATTCATTCCTCAGCAACCGTGTTGTGAAACACCAGCAGTCGGTCAAGTCAACATCTCGGGGAAAGTTGGTGTCCGAGACCCTTCCGGCATGGACTGAGTACATGCTCGAGTTCATGCGCGCGCGGGGTTATTCGCTCCTGTATCCCGCAGCGATGGACAATGCACTGGTCACCATCCACAACGAGCTGTACCACATTCCCGAGGAATTCTCGGCGATGCCATCTGAGGACGGGAAAGAAAGTCCAGCCGTACCAAAGGAGACGGATGCACCGTTCCTGCGCGCCGATACACCACCCAAGCCACCCCAAAACCCCGAACCGCCAGTCATCCCAGGCTCAGTGCCCCTCCACCAAGCGCTGCCTTTCAAAGGCGACCTCCCCGAGATACCTCACCTACCCCACCTTCTCTATGACGGGAGACTGATTGCTCCCGCAAATGTATCTACCGTGGCGAAAGAATATGCTGACTTGTTCCGCACAGAGGTTGGAGGATGCAAGATACCCAAAGGCAAGCATAAGAAGGTTGTTGCGGGTGAAGCTAGCGATTTGTTCTGCTTTGGAGACGAGGATAGTAGTGACTGGGTGGATGACGAGACGAGAGAGGTGGAGATGTTTGATGCGCCTATCGATGATGAGTTGGAGAAGTTGATTGAGGATGCGCTACCTATTGCGACGTCGACGAGGGAGAGGACGATCACGAGACCCACAGCTAAAAGTGTAGAACCATGATGGGTCGAGCTCGAAATGTGTTCTGTATAATACCACTTTCATCTGGTACTGATCTGAATGATCGATGTGTTATGTAATCATCTTGTGCTAGAGGCGCAGGGCCGTTGCTAGTGGCTCGGGTGGCGAGAAAGGTGCCAAGGTGGGGCGATGCCGTTTCGGTGATGACGCGGGCATGGATCTGATGGTCGGCCAAAATTTCCATGAGAGAGAAACTTCAACTGCGAGGCAACTCGACGTCCAGTTGATACCCCCGATTCACTGCATCGCCCCTTCCACTTGTCTTCTGGCGTTGAGCAGTCTGGTCTTTCTTTCTTTCTTATCTGTTTAATACCCCATAGACTCGCACGCGCCACGCTCCTTCCCACGACATGCTCTCACGAGCGTTAGGGCGGAACATCCGCAGAAATGCCTACACGACGCCCTCGACGCTGTCGCAGCAATTGACGCTGCCATGGCTCTGCCCAGCCCTCTCCCGCAAGACTTCACACACACCACATGATGCGAGCCAACGGCAACGGCAGCGGCAACGGCCGACCTCACTGTCGTCACGGCACGAGACACGCTCCCTCGCCACGTCTGCGCAGATGCAACCCCCACCGCCCTCGGCCCTCCCCTTCGACCCGTTTGCGCTGTCGCTGGGACGCCAGTTCCAATCGCCTGAGCTGTCGCGGCTCCAGCCATGGGACGCTACAAACCCTCTCGTCGTGCGTGACACGTTAGCGGCATCCCCACCAATGCGTTCTGTCTACGGCCTCGGTGCCGACCCGATCGAGCTACACCAGAATCTCTACGCCTGTCTGCGAGTTGGCCGCTTGGACCGAGCAGCCAGCATCATCGCCCGTCTCGCCTCCGTCTTCAATCCCGAAGCTGCAGAGCTCTTGGATGCCAACAATGTCTATCTGCAGACGCTGCTCGAAAGCAACCAGATGGACCCAAGTGCCGAGGGCATGCAGAAAGTTCAAGACTGGTACAAGAACAACATGGTCGCAAAGGGCATCCAGCCCAATGCGCAGACTTTTGTTACCCTAATCCGGGCGGCTATGAGCTTCCTAGAAGAGGGCGCGCAGGAAAACGCAGTACGGGAATACATTGCAACCGCACGCAGACACGGCGACCATGTTCTCGACCAGATCAACGCCTCTCCCGAATTCTCCGACGAGGAGTGGGACTTATTGATCCGCCTGCAACCGGAGTCCTTCAACGAACCCCCCTCGGTCGAGGAGGTCCAGGATCTCCACGTCGCTACGCCATCCGGTCGCAAGAACCTCATAGACCACGGCCTGGTGTCCAATCCAGCACAGCCCATCAAGCCCGTGAGGCAGAAGGGCATGGGTCTCGACTCGCTGAAGCAAGCCCTCACCATGTTCGACGACGGGTCGAGCGTGCCCTACCCTCATGATATGCCTGGGACCCAAGAAGACAAGGACAGGGCCTACGCATACGCACGACAACTGAAGATAGAACAAGATGGAGTAGAAGCTGCTGTTGAGAGATGGAAGCAAGAAGATGAGAAGATGCAAGAGATTGGCATATATGGCGTTATGAACTCCAAGCCCATACAGGCCATCATGTACGGCTGGTACTTGGCCCTCGTACCGCTGTTCAAGCAGCGCATTGCAAACGTCAAGGACACCTTGTCCGATCCCGAAAAGGTCAAGACGCGTGATGAAGCCCTTTCCTACGGTGTTTGGCTGGAGAGATGCAGGCCTGAAAAGTTGGCCGCAATCACAGTTGCTCGCGCTACTCAGGCTGCAGTAAAGGGCAAAGACGAAGACAACTCCGCCTACAAAGTCGCCGCTCTGTCTGTCTCCATCGGTACCGACGTCCAAGACTACCTCAATGCCGAGTCACAGACGAGACGCGATGCTTTCCTCCGTAAGCAGCGCAAGCAGACCCGGATGAATTTGGTTGAGAAACTTTCCAAAGAGACTAAAGATACTGAAGGGGCTTCTTCTACACCAGCACCTCCGAAAATGAGCTATCAAATCGAAAAGGCCGACATACCACTATCCGTACGAACCCGGATTGGGGCTCTCTGTCTAGAGCTTTTGCTTCAAAGCGCAACCCTCACTGTGACCGC